GGGGGTAGGGGACCCGCCACCTACCCGCGGCATTCACGGGCAGCTCCGGCAGCGGGCAGCCGGCGGGCGGGCAGCTGCCCGCCGGGCACCCGCTGCCCGGAACAGTGTTGCCGGCGGGTGGACCCCCACCCACCGGCTACCCGCTGGAATTTTCCCCCCCGCGGGACCCCGGCTTCCCCGTTTGATGTTTCCCCGATCCCTGTGGTGTCCCAACGGACCCCGTTTGTCGTGCCTATGTCTAGTTTGATATTTCGGGTACCGTTCATAGGTTTATGAGTCTATTATATTGCATGCTAGTTGAATTGGTATCCCGTTGACCTAGGTGGAAGAAGTATGATCCCCTTAGGACTATTCTTAGTACGTGATGGATCACGCATAAGGTTGTTATACGCTTTATCCCCCTTCCCAATGTGTAATTTTGGTTGCATGTGCTTGCTATGTGTTATGTGTGCGTGTTACCCCAATTCGGTTGCGATCGGATTGGTTATCCTGAGCTGCGGTTCAGAAGCCGGCTATGGTCAGATGGGAATTCCTGGCTGTAGTCGGATGACGGTATCCTGGGCTGCGGTCCAGAAGCTGGTTGTAGTCAGATGGGAATTCCTGGCTGCAATCAGGTGACATTTTTCCTGAGCTGCGGTTCAGAGGCTGGCTGTAGTCAGATGGGAATTCCTGGTTACAGTCAGATGACATACTCTCTTGGGCTGCGGTCCACTGTTTGGTTGCGATCAAACATTATGATGAGCTGTGGTTCATCGGTCGGTTGCGATCGACCTCCCCGTGTTGCGATACGGGGCATGGTGCTGTGGGGCCGTGTCAGAGCTATATGCGCTGACCCGCATGTATGGGCATGCGAGTGGTCCTGTGGCGCCAACAACGTGCGTTATGTGTTGTGATACGGACGAGTTGTGACTACGAGTGCCTTGGGACGTGACTATGGGTTTCATATTGGGGATTGTTTATGATGGGTTATGATTACTGCTTATACCTTGCCTTATTTGCCTTATCTGTTATGAATTGCTTATGACTGTTATAACTGTTGCTTGTGTCTGACCTTATCTGTCGAGTCATTCCCGGTTTTAAAGCTAGAGTTCGTAGGATATATCTTCATGCTCAAAATGGTTTTCGTATATCTATATATATCTCTATATGTATTGTATTTCAACGCGTTGGAGTGGGTTACCAGCATCTCTCGCTGAACAGATATATTTGGCTTTCAGGCACAGAAGAATAAGTCACTGAAGAGCGCTAGTACTCGGAACGTAGAAGTAGTTAGTCCCCTTTCGGCCTGCGTGCCATATTATGCATTTACATTATTGAGGATATTAGTTAGTTAGCCTGTGCACCTGGGTTCTCCAGCTCAGGTGTGGCATAGCACCCCGTACACTTGTATTATGTTTTGGGATTTAATGAGATAATACCTTTATTTTATAAGTTTTAAATGTCTTGAAAATCTGGGGTGTTACAGTTGGTATCAGAGCCTAAGTTTGACCCTAGGATAAGACTCTTAAGACCGGACTTTAGGACACTAGGCTTGAACTCTAGGTACTTAGGAACATAGGATCCAGGAATCTTAGGACGCGCAGTGAGATTGTGAAACCTATACATAACACCTCCCCTCACTTCATCCCTCTCTAACTTAAAGGAACCTCCCCCTACGCTTACCACACCAGGTAAGGGTGCGAATAGATAAGTTTACTTCTACAACTGGGTAATGTACACTTACCCGATAAATCGCCTCGTCCTAACTCCCGTCAAAAGACTTGACAATGACCCTGACCAAAGAAAAGGAAGATTTGGATGACTACTAAGAAGAGGCGTTACAGTCAGGACTGCTAAAAGGGACGGACTGCAATACGCACCAACCCAGGGTAACCACAATAACCCCCGAGTCAGACAAATGACATGCACCTTCCGACAAGTTGCCTTATCTCGGCGAACCCGGGTTGCGGCTACAACAAACAGGAAGGAGGACTAGGACACCTATTAAAGTAGCAAAGGAACGACACCATTAGTCGAATCCTTGGGTGCAAGGTAAACCTTGCAACCCCACCACCCCAATTTAAAATATCATCCACCCTGGAACCCCAGCATCTTGATACCCCTATTTGTTGAAAACACCCACCCCGAATCCTTAATTACCTTAAGAGAAAATTCGCAACCGTCATGACCTTGCTCACCCTTTGTTGCGCTTAACCCAAACCCTCGGAGACCCTAAATTGTTATTGCCCTTACTCTAAGTTCATATCCCCACTCCGTTTGGAAACCCTGTTAAAAACGTAGAGCAGCATAAGGCCCTTACCCTGCCCAGGGGCGTGAAGAACCGACATTCATTGATTCAATATTAAAATAAGTTGTTAGATAGGAATCGGCGAAGTAGGTGGAGGTTACGAATACGTATCACCCCACCCTTGCACGAAAACCGTGAAGGCTTCTCGAGAAACCATAGCCTGTACGTACGCCACCGAAGAACGCCATGCGTTGACAAGAGCGGGCAAACAAATACGTTCAATGTGTCAGGGGCCCTCGCTACAGAAAACATCGTCAAATAGGTGCAACAGGCCGAACCTCGAGGAGGACATAAATCCTTGCTAAGAATTTCATCCACCAGGGAAGGGATGAAACCCAATAGAACAAGAAAGACTAACCCGAAACCCCCTTACCCTTAAGAACCCTCGGCAAGGATTAGGAGTCAAGACCTAGGGGTTTGACCCACTAAACCGACTGGGTCCAGACTTCTGGACATCCGAGGGGAACGTGCACGGAAACCATCACGAGAATTCCCCTGGAAGCCATAGAAACGAAGGGGACTTCGACACGGGAAGAGAAGATCAAACGAAAATCTTAGAATCAAACAAAGCCAAGGAAAAGGGACCACCAGTTCGACTGCAGGCCAAAACCAAGCCCCAAACAGGCATAATCACTCAAAGCCAAGAATCCTTAGCCCCTTTCCCTCCCCTTGCCAATCAAGTACCATTTCGTTAAAGAATCCGTCCTATCACTCCAAACCTCGCTCTCGATCCCTCATTATAGACAAACCCGTACAAGGTGGCAACCTTCCTTCCTGTATTACGACCTTGAGACATCGACCCTATCCGCCCCTCGACTTTGAAACCTAGCCATTGCACTCCTTACACCCCTTTAAACCCAGACCAAGAAAACATAGATATATATATATATATATATATATATGTATGTATATCTACCTCTAGAACTCGTGCTTAAGGATCAATGAACATTGTACGATGGGTCATCCTATGTATCCAAGTCCCTTTTATTGTGCACAAGGGCATGGGACTTGTCAGGACATGAATCTGTGCATTTTTGGGGCCTTTCCCGAAGGAATTGACTATTCCTAGTCACTTTCCCGCGGGTCCCCAACGGGTCCTTGACGGGACCTTGGCGGGTCCTTGGCAGGAGCTTGGCAGGCGGACGACCGCCCACCTCGCGCCCACTGGTACAATGTGCTGATTTCTTAACCCCTCATTTTATTGATTTGTGGCGCACTTGTGTGCCTCGATTGAGGAATGTGAGTCTTGGGTAAGGAACCATGGACCACCTAAACATAGTGTCCTACGCAAAAGACCTTGACGCACGAGACACCATCGGGAAATCACAATCAATTACATTGCACGAGTAATTGAAATCGGATCCTATGATACAACCGACTAGGGATGTTTGGCATAAAGGATTGCGCAAACCAAGGAGGCGAGTTGGGAACTCGTACTAAGAACCCACGAAAACCTTAAAAGTCAAAATGCTAAGGAGGGGCCGGGACTCCTCCAAACCATGGACATCGTTCGAGCAAATCAGAGGACTCCTTACAAGTTGTATGGAATCAAGAACTACGTATCCCATGGTGCTAAGCAAAAGGGTGAAGAACACATTTCGCACCAAGACTTCAAGGGTCATTAAGGACCTACAAGGAGAGGAGGTGACTCGTAAATTCGCCGAGTCATCCCACAACGAGATTCGGTAACCGACTGCGCTTTAAAAGAAAAAGGGCACGCAAGGACACCTTCATCATTAAGAATAACACAAACAGGGCACAACAATGCTGAACCTCGGGTAAGACATGAAGTCTTACTAAGAATTTCATCCACTAAAGAGGAGATGAAATTCAATAAAAAGAGAAATTCAACCCAAAATCCATCGACTCCAAAGAGACTTTGGGAAGAATTTGGGAAATGCACCCTAAGAGATTGGCTTGGTTGACCCAACTCGGTCAAGACCTTGGGCGCATTAAAGAAGTAAGTGTTGAATCACCACGGGAAATTCCCTCAAGAAAGAAGAGAAGGATGAAACCTTAGCCTGGGAAGCAAGGTCTAACAAGGATCTTAAAGTCAAGCAAACACCAACACCAAGGAAGGAGGATCATCAGCTCGTCGGCGCATCGTGATCAAAGCATCTAACCAGATTATTCACTTGGGATCGAGAAACTTTAACCCATCCTAGCCGAATTCCTTTCCCTCCCTTGGAAAATCGGCCCCTTCCTTATTTCAAAACCCTTTCTACCCTTCAGACCCCATTCTCAATCCCATGTTTTAACGATTCCATACAAGTGGCAACCTCACAACCTAAGTTGCAATCTCGAAAACTTGATCCTAATTCCTGAATTCACCGTGTCCTCAAGTTTGAAACCCACTCTCTTAAACCTGTAAAACCTAATCGCTCCCAAAAACCCAACACACATAGGCGTGCAAGTATACAATTTCCCCGTGGAATACCTTCTCTATAGGACCATGGTTCTTCTCTTGACTCGTTAACCCTGCAATGATTTCCAAGCTTCGGGGACGAAGCTTCTCGTAAGGGGGGGGGGAGTGTAACACCCCGTGTTACGGCCTTCAATCCCAGATTAATTATTAAATTAATCCCGTTAATAATAATTAAATATGATTTAACTCGGTTAGGTTTCCTTTAATTAATTAATAAAGGTCCACCATGAACCGTGGACCCTTGCCTAAATTAGAGTCCTAAGCCTATTAGGAATAAAGAAAGTAAACCCTTTACTATTCAGATTCTAATTAGGAATCCTAGACCTAGTTATCTATTAGGAATAAAGGAAGTAGGCCTTTTACTATTCAGACTACGATTAGGATTCCCTTTAATTAATTAATATGGTCCACTATGGACCATGGACCCTTATCCCTAAACCCAATCCTTAGTTCCAAAAGGAATAGAATTAGCAAGCCTATAATATTAGTTCCTAATTAGGACTCCTAAATATATAAATAAGGGACTTAGGAGACGCCTAGAACGGCCCACACGCCTAAACGCCCCATCACCCCAGGAGAGCTCTAAGAATTCCCTTAGAAGAAATCAAGAAAGCAAGAAAACTTAAAGAAAGATCCTTCATAGCCAAGGAATTATTTAAGGCTAAGAGGTAACCCATGTCTCAACAAAACCTATTTTCATAGCTATGGTTTCCCCTTAGGGTTTCCTCCATATTGTTGTAAATGGCGATTGATGATGATTATTATTGATGTCGATATAATGATTCCATGAGGAATCTCGATAATCTTGATATTGGGAGTTTCTTGATAATTATGATGTTCTTGATGATTAATTGGGGTTTTGATGATTATGTGTTGTTCTTGATGATTATGATGTTTTTGATGATTAATTGGTATCCTTGATGACTATGTGTTGTTCCTACCAAATCTTGCAATACGAAGACGAATTGTATTCTTATTGATATAAAAGTGATTAGAACCCTAGGTTGTATCGTATGATATCATTCTTGGATTATCGGGTGGGGAAATCGCATGTTTGGGTGTTGATTATGATTAGAAAAGCATGATAGGTTATGTGCCGTTCGTTTATCGTATTTGATCCGTAAATTTCTATGTGTTGTCGTTAATTACGTTGAAAAGTGTCTAAGCATGGTTTCGGGTTCCACATCGGTTCCCGGGGCGAAAAGTGTTGAAAAGAGTCAGTGGGGGGTAGGTGGGGGTAGGGGACCCGCCACCTACCCGCGGCATTCACGGGCAGCTCCGGCAGCGGGCAGCCGGCGGGTGGACCCCCACCCACCGGCTACCCGCTGGAATTTTCCCCCCCGCGGGACCCCGGCTTCCCCGTTTGATGTTTCCCCGATCCCTGTGGTGTCCCAACGGACCCCGTTTGTCGTGCCTATGTCTAGTTTGATATTTCGGGTACCGTTCATAGGTTTATGAGTCTATTATATTGCATGCTAGTTGAATTGGTATCCCGTTGACCTAGGTGGAAGAAGTATGATCCCCTTAGGACTATTCTTAGTACGTGATGGATCACGCATAAGGTTGTTATACGCTTTATCCCCCTTCCCAATGTGTAATGTGGGTTGCATGTGCTTGCTATGTGTTATGTGTGCGTGTTACCCCAATTCGGTTGCGATCGGATTGGTTATCCTGAGCTGCGGTTCAGAAGCCGGCTATGGTCAGATGGGAATTCCTGGCTGTAGTCGGATGACGGTATCCTGGGCTGCGGTCCAGAAGCTGGTTGTAGTCAGATGGGAATTCCTGGCTGCAATCAGGTGACATCTTTCCTGAGCTGCGGTTCAGAGGCTGGCTGTAGTCAGATGGGAATTCCTGGCTACAGTCAGATGACATACTCTCTTGGGCTGCGGTCCACTGTTTGGTTGCGATCAAACATTATGATGAGCTGCGGTTCATCGGTCGGTTGCGATCGACCTCCCCGTGTTGCGATACGGGGCATGGTGCTGTGGGGCCGTGTCAGAGCTATATGCGCTGACCCGCATGTTTGGGCATGCGAGTGGTCCTGTGGCGCCAACAACGTGCGTTATGTGTTGTGATACGGACGAGTTGTGACTACGAGTGCCTTGGGACGTGACTATGGGTTTCATATTGGGGATTGTTTATGATGGGTTATGATTACTGCTTATACCTTGCCTTATTTGCCTTATCTGTTATGAATTGCTTATGACTGTTATAACTGTTGCTTGTGTCTGACCTTATCTGTCGAGTCATTCCCGATTTTAAAGCTAGAGTTCGTAGGATATATCTTCATGCTCAAAATGGTTTTCGTATATCTATATATATCTCTATATGTATTGTATTTCAACGCGTTGGAGTGGGTTACCAGCATCTCTCGCTGAACAGATATATTTGGCTTTCAGGCACAGAAGAATAAGTCACTGAAGAGCGCTAGTACTCGGAACGTAGAAGTAGTTAGTCCCCTTTCGGCCTGCGTGCCATATTATGCATTTACATTATTGAGGATATTAGTTAGTTAGCCTGTGCACCTGGGTTCTCCAGCTCAGGTGTGCATAGCACCCCGTACACTTGTATTATGTTTTGGGATTTAATGAGATAATACCTTTATTTTATAAGTTTTAAATGTCTTGAAAATCTGGGGTGTTACATGTTGGTTCCCACCGAGTTGGCTAAGGTGGAGAAGTTTGTTGCGGGGCTCAACTACGAAGCCAGGAAGGCCCTGACGATGAGCAAACCTAGGACGCTCAATGAAGCCTATCTGAGTGCAGCAGCTTCAAAGAGGATCCAATGAGTTGGCTCGGAAGAGAAGCGAAGGGAGTGGATCTCAAAGTTTCAAGAGGCCAAGGCAAGATTTTAGGGCAAGACCTGCTCCTCCTCAGCCTCAAGGATCGGCTCGGACCGATAGTGGAGAGAAAGGGAGACCCTTCAGATGCAGGAGATGCGGTAAGGATCACATCAGGAAGGATTGTCAAGGTAACGCGCTCCAGTGCTTCAAGTGTGGAGGAAGAGGTCACAAAGCTTTTGAGTGTCACCTCCAGTCCGACCAGAGAGCTCTGCCATCTAGCGCCAAATCCGGCGGACCACCAGGAGGGAGTTCCGGTCGTGGCTCAGGAGGGACAAAGCCTTCGGGCAGGGTGTTTGTGATGAGCAGGTCGCAGGCTGAGGCCGAGGGCATTGTGGAGGAGGAGGCTGCAGATATTCTTCTTGAGCCTACCTTTTTACCTTGAAATGTACCCTTTTCGTGTGTTTTCCCTTGTACCTTTCTTTGAGTAAAATTACTCTTGTGGTTTGATTGCTCCCCTTGAGTTGTTAACCTTAGCTCTTAGAATTCGGAGTTCCAAAAGTCGTGTTTAGAATTTTACCTTGGGTGTCACCTTAATCCTATTTCTTCATTTTAAAAGCTTAGAATTGCTAATTCTTTTTAAGAACCCCCTTAAAAGACGCGGGTAGGTGGCGGGTCCCCTACCCCCCACTGACTCTTTCATCACAGAAAAATGCCCCGGGAACCATTGTGGAACCCGAGACCATGCTTAGACACTTTCAAACGCAATTGACAACAACACGTAGACAGTTAACGGATTCAAAAGCAAGAACATACGGCTCATAACCTATCATGCTTTTCTAAACATAATCAACACCCAAACATATGAATTCCCACCCAATATACCAAGAATAATACCATACGAATTCCACGATATAACCTAGGGTTCTAATTATTTTTAAATCAACAAGAACACAATTCATCTTCTAATATCAAGATTCGGTAGGAATATCATATAAACATCAAGAACATCATATAATCATCAGGAACATCAAGAACACCATCAAGATCACCCATGGAATCATAACACTAATTATCAAGACCATTATAACGAATCATCAACACACAAGAATATGGGGAAATCCTAAGAGGGGAATCATAGCTATGAAAATAGGTTTTGTTGAGACATGGGTTACCTCTTAGCCTTAATTAATTCCTTGGCTATGAAGGGTCTTTCTTTAAGCTTTCTTCTTTCTTGATTTCTCCTAAGGGGATTCTTGGAACTCCTTGTGTGGTGAGAGATTATTGTGGTGTAGGATTTAGGTGCCTCCTATGATCCTCTCTCTCTCTCTCTCTCTCTCTCTCTCTATATATATATATATATATATATATATATATATATATATATATATATATATTCCTAAGAGTCATAATTGGGGTCTAAATACTGTGGGCTTGCTAATTCCATTCCTTATAGGACTAAGGACTTGTTTTAGGGATAAGGGTCCATGGTCCATAGTGGACCCTATTAATTAATTAACGAGAATCCTAATCATAATCTGAATAGTAAAAGGCCTACTTCCTTTATTCATAATAGATAACTAGGTCTAGGATTCCTAATTAGAATCTGAATAGTAAAAGGTTTACTTTCTTTATTCCTAATAGGCTTAAGACTCTAATTTAGGCAAGGGTCCACGGTTCATGGTGGACCTTATTAATTAATTAAAGGGAAACCTAACCGAATTAAATCATATTTAATTATTATTAACGGGATTAATTAAATGATTAATCCGGGATTGAAGGCCGTAACATGGGGTGTTACAGGAGGAGATGAAGAGGAAGAAGAGGAAAATGAAGGGGAAGGAGAAGAGGCTGAAGAGAGTGATTCCGAGAGTGAGGAGAGCTTGAGAAGAAAAGAGGTGAGGATGAAGAAAGAACACGATGCCATGACCCACGAGGAGCGTGTGGTGACCCTTCTCCGTCAGCAAAATCGGATGATTGAAGAAAGTTTTTCCTTCATGAAGGCTCAGCTGGTCACTGTGAATTAGAGGCTGGATGTGCTGGAAGCTAGTTCTAGCCGAGAGGGAGCCGAGGAAGCTTCAGACGAGGATGCTGAGGATTCGAAGGATGATTCCTCCTAAGCAGGAGTTGGAGGTAAGCCCGTTTCTTTCCTTGTTTGTTTTGGTTGTCGGCTTGTTGGTAGTTGTTTGCTTAGTTGTTTAGTTTAGTTGGTGCGCCTCTTGTTTGCTTTGGTTATTAGCTTGTTGTTAGTTGTTTGTTTAGTTGCTTTGTCTCGTTTGAGCTTAGTTTTTTCGTGGCTTAGGACTAGCGTAGATGGTTGGTAGTTGGCCTTAAGTTGTGCTAGTTGTATTGTTGCTTGAGAAGTTTTCTCCGTTGCCTTGAAGCCTTAACTTTACTTCTGATCGTTGGGACTCTTGATTGATCACTCTTTGCTATCTATTGTCACATTTTGGTTCATTTTCTATCCTTGTTTGTTAACCCGTCGTGCCCAAGCTTTGGGGACGAAGCTTCTTGTTAAGGGGAGAGGATGTGACACCTCGTAAATCTAAATGCTAATTGAATTGGGATTAATTGAGGAATTAATCCTAGCCTTCCTTGGTAATCTCTTCCTAAAAATCCTGAAATTTAATAGTCGAGGGACTAGAATTTGACTAGTCACTTAAGTCAACCAAGTGTACCTTATGCTTTATGATTTGTACCTTTACCCTTTTGTCTTTACAACCTTAGTAAGGGTAAAAGTGACCTTTCACCCATGATTTCTTGATCAAGCTATCCCTAGCAAGTCATTCCTTTCATTCTCTCATACTAGCCTAAGTTCCAAACACTCCATCATCTCTCTAAAAAGAACCTAGCTTACTCTTCAAGCAAAAGGAGAACCTTCTAGCTTTGCAAGATCCCATTCCAAGATTCCCACTTTCTTCTTCCCAAGCATAGTAAAGGGTAAGGTTCATAGCTATTTAGTGTTTTTAGTCATCTTTTGGGTGTCTTTATCTAAGATAGAATCTTTCTTGTGTTTTGGCTTGTGTAAGAAGTTGGTGGAGAAGAGGAACTCTAAGAAGAGGCTTAGGAGGGTGTAAAAGAGAAGTTGTTAAGCTACAAAGGTAACCCATGCTATACAAAACCTATTTTCTTACCTAAATGATGATTATTGGCTTCTACTTTATGTTCTTGATGTGACTTGTGAGATTTGATGCATGATCTTGTGATGATGCATGTTTAGAGCTTGTATTTAGGTTTCTTGAATGCCATTGCTTGGCTATTTCTTGGGTTCAAGTCATATCTTTGTTCTGTGTGAGATTTTGGGTGTTTTGGACTTGAACTTGGCTTTGTTGATGAATTTTCCCGAAGGGAAAAATGGTGTGTACAGGGTGTACCCACGGGCGAAACGGCGGGCAGTAGCCTACCCACCACCCCACCCACGAAGAACGAAGTGGGATGAGGCATGTACCCCGCAGGGAACAATTGTTGATGGTGAGGGGATTTGTTCCCCGTGATCCTTTTACTTCTTGGTGTTGATGTTTTGACCTCCCGTTGTTGAATTATTGAGCTCTTTGTGAGTTTTCTTGATGTTCCGTATGTCTAGAACGATGAGTTAGGAACCCATGTTAGGATTTGGTGTCTTGAATTGCGCTAAGGGTCCAACTTCGTGATTCGTTGGGCTAATTTGAGTCTTGAAGGTTCGTTGTAACCCTTTTTGGTTTACCCATTTGATGAGCATGCTAGTTTGATGTTGTTATGCTAGTACGTACGGTTTGTTCCTTCTTGTTGAGAATTGGCAACTTGTGTTGCCAATCATTTTGATGTTGGATTGTAATCCTTGATTGTTGAGTATGGTCTCATGACTTTGTTGAAATATCTTGATTGATTCTTATGGTGTGATCTTGTACAAATCGTTGTACCATTTTGTTGATACTTGATTAGGGCTATTGATGAGACTTAGTCTTCTTGATAATGATGACTATGTGTGAATATGAATGAGATTGGTGGTTTTGTTACTTGAGCTTTGCTCACGAGTTCGGCGGTTTGTGACTATGATATTTAATGGTACCCTCGTGTACTATGAGTTCGGCGGTGAATGTTTGGCGGAAGTTTCGCGGGGGACGACGGTCCCAGGCGGAATAAGGTTGGACTCAGAAGTACAGGGTGGCACTAGGAGGTAATGGTTGGAACTGAAATAAGTCCGGGGGTAGCCATAAGGTTGGAACAGGGCATAAGATTGGAACTTGGAACATGAATATGTCATTATGTGATTTATTGTATTTCCTTGCTTATATGCACGTCTTTGATGAACTCTACCTTGTGAATGGTAGGTTGCATCTAGAGTTGTGTTGTCCCTTGTTGTTGTGGTTTTGTGGTCTTGTTGAGGTTGATGATCCTCATTCTTGTTGAGAGTGTGATGAGTCTTTGATGTTGATCTTCTTCTAGCTTTCAAATGACTATATACTGTATTCCTTAGTCTCAAACGCTTTTGATTATATCTATCTATATACTATGTTATTTAACGCGTATTGATGGGTTACCAGCATTATTCGTTGACCGGGTGTTATCCCCATGTTTTACAGGTTTTGCCTAGTTGGAGAGCGCGCTAGATGTGGACTCTAGTTAGCATAGTCTTGTTTTCCTTTTGCTTAGATTTGGGCCTGTGAGCCTTAGACAGATGTGGCTTGTGTGCCTTAGACAATGCGTTGTTTTGTTAGATTTGGTAGACTCAGCCTGTGCACCCATAGTTTTATGGGTGTGGCATAACACTTTTCCCGGTTTATGTTAGCTTCCGCTTGTGATTGATTGATGCTTAGTTTGCTTATCTTTGAAATTTAAGTTTTAAAATATTGGTAAAATGGGGGGGGGGGGGGGGGTGTTACACCCATTCTCTACAAAACCTATTTTATACTTGCTATGATGATTTCTTGCTACTCTATTGATGTTCTTGATATTGTGAGTGAGTTGATGCAGAATCTTGTGTTTATGCATGTTAGAGCTTGTATCTAGGGTTCATAAATGCTATTCATTGAGCTATTCATGTGTTCAAGTCATTTTCTTGTGAAATGTGAGTTTTTGGTGTTTTGGACTTGAACTTGGAAATGTTGATGTTT